AAAAAAACAATGGGCTATAGCTTATCTAAAACATTCTCTTACTAAACTTTTTTATTGGGCTACAATAAGAAACCAAAATTGGGCTTCGAAAAACCACGAACGTTATATATAAAAAAGTGTTTAACTATATTTATATTTTATTTCTTAAAATGATTTTTCCAATGATTATGTTATGATTTTTACTATATTTTATATTTTTTTTTAATTTTTATCATATAGCTTTCCGTGCAAATGTACGGGTAACAACTAGTGTTTTGTATGGTGTGTTGTTCGATTATTTACGGTCACTGCGTGTTGGTGCGCCTGATTGATGATGTCCTTGAAATAAGTTCAAGAAAGATTATTATGTGAGGCACTGTAGACCAATTTAGTTTGGTTAATTTTGAAAAAGGTGGTATGGTTAGTTGTTAGTGGGTATATTAAAATAATATTTAAAATAAAATAATTAAAGTTGATTTGATGTAAAAGTATGAGAGAGAGATTTGAAGTGATGGTTAGTTAAAATTATGTGAGTGGATGAATATTGAATTAAGGTTGATGTGATATGTAAGAATGATTGGTTTATATTATTTAATTATATTAATAATATTAATGATAGTTGGGTTGAGTTAAAGTTGAATTAAAAAAAATGGTTGAGTTAAAAATGTTTGGATTTTTTGGATAAATTTTGTATCCAAGCATCCTCAAATGTTCAAATCATAATCTTTAGATTCGATTACTCTTAAAATTAATTCGTAAATAATTCAAACTAGTACGAATATCAATATTATTCACCGAACCCACCCAATACTACTAAGTACTACATGAGAAGCTATGAACTACTCAACTTCGTACTACTCTCAATCCCAAACATTCTACCATTTGTTACCCACTAAATGCATTCATGTGAACTGACCCCCCTTACCCCACAGTGAGCAGGACAACTGGCAAGCTTGATTCTTCTCGAAAACAGATATATTAATAGTGGTGGGCTCAAGGGATAGTGGCAAGCCAAAAATATAAGTTTGAGTCTTCTTTATTTCATCTCTTCCATCTCCTTTTCTTATTACATCTATCTTCATACAAACAAAAAATAGAAAGGGTTGATAATGAATTTATCAAGTTGTGAATATAGCAGTGGGTGTGAATCTGGATGGACCATGTATTTAGATCAACTTTCCAACTCAATCGATCATCACAATTACAATCATCAATACCAAGATAATAAAAACGGAGAATTTGCGAATCAAGAACACGATGATGATGATGATGATGATGATGAAGATATGTCGATGATTTCGGATGCATCATCTGGGCCTCCTCATTTTCACCATAACGATGCTTCTGCTTCTGCTTCTGCTTCTGCTGATGCTGCTACTTCTGCTTATTCTCAGTATTACGGCTATTATACGCCTTCTATTTATGAGGATACAAACAATACTAACAAGAGCAACACAAAAGAGACAATTTCTAGGTCCAAAAAACACCAGAGTTTGTGCCTTGATGACACTGCCAGCTCCCCAATTTACGATTTTTCCCAGGTAATCTATTACTAGTAGATTGTTTTTTTTAAAAAAAAAAAAAAATCTTGATTTTTTATTTTTTGCCACCATGTTTAATGAGTAACACGTGCTATTATTATCAAATTTGCGTTGTTGATTGTGTTAGATATATGCAGATATGTACATGTGTCATTCATCAAACCAAAATTGCTTTTAAATAGAAAACATTTTATTTTTATTTAGGATTGATTCTTATGGTTATTATTGAGTTTCAGGACAATGTGGCTCCTTCTCATGACTACTCACAAGTGTACTCAAGTACGAATTTGGAGGTAATGACATATATATATTTATAAAATGAAAATATTGTAGTCTTATTGGTTTATTTATCTACGTGTGTATTGATATGGCCCTATATGTTCAGGGTGAATATTCCAGGACAAAAAAGCATTTTGGTTTCTTCAAATCCTCCACAAAAGGAAAAGGAAAATCTGGTGAGTTTTTCTTTTCTTTTTTTCATTATTCGTTTTTTTTTTTCACTGTGGTCACAATGAAAAATACCACTTTCACGTAAAATTTTGACACAAATTGATGAGTAAATTTGATGATTAGGATTTTAAAGATTTTGTAATGTGTTAAATAATAAATTTTACAGTTATCTTATATAGTATGATAAAATATATGTTATCTATTTACTTATGTTGATGTTATGATGTAATAATACATATCATACACACAGAGATAACTTTTTCACGACTTTGGTTACTTTTTTTGCTTTTCAGGCAGTTTCCTGGGAAGAAAGAGGCAATAATTAAGAAACTTCCATTTTCTTGTTTATTTTGCTGCAATTGTTTAAGAGATGGAGGACTTCAGGAGCAAAAGTGAAAAGGGGCAGCTGAACTGAATATTAATTCAAGAATCTTTGCTTGTATCTCCTTAAATTATTTGTTTAATTTTTTATTTTTTTTTTCTTGTTACATTTGTATTATTCCTGTCCATGCAGTAGGGAACAAACCTGGGATCATAAATGTAAAAAAATTGAAGTAAAAAAATAATAAAAAGAAAATTTCTTTTTCCGCTGTTTATTTTAAATGCCGGCATTTTTCACCTTCATATAAGATATACAAAATAACTAGAACAATTTAATTAGGATAAATAGGTACATCTACCAAATTACAATACTATAAATGAAGAAAAAAAATGACTAGGGAAAAATAAAAGGAAAAGAAAAATAAACATGAATAATAAAGGCAAAATGAGTGGTTGCACTTGTTCCAAAATGAAAATTGCCAGGCTAGCCAACTGGTTGAGGTGGACTAAGGGTTGAATAAATCTGGTAAGTAATGTAATATAGACTGTACTGAACTTAAAGTAGACAATATCTATGATGAAAAAACTTGGCGCCATTTAACCTTTTTTTTGTAACTTTTTTATTAATTTTCTATTTTTTTACTTCTCAATTATTATTATTATTTATTTATTTATTATTTTTTGGTACACATCACACCACGTATGACAGCTACAACATATACCAAAATCGTGATCCGCATAAATATAATTTCATACAATTATTGAACTAGTTTTGGGATTGAATTTTTCCAAATTTGTAGTAAAGCCTCTTGAAATCCTCAGAATTTGAAGCCCATATCTTTGGGAATGATTGAGATTTTAGGAAAAGAACAAGGACCACCCAGCTGTGTCCTTGGCTCTAAAACAATATCCCATTCATTTCATAGTACTCTAATAATTGACTGTCTATAGTTTTTTGATTGGTTAGTAAATTTGTCAAAGTACAATTTAAATTTAACATAAACTCGGAAACTACAGATCTTACCTTGATTGACAACATCAAAATGTTGTGCTGTTAAAAGTACATATGAAATATTGTTCAAAATTCGAAGTCGTAATACATACATATAGGGTTGAGCATGAGATTCGGAGAATTATGAACCGTTCTGAAAACAGAACCGAAATCACTCTGAATCGAAAAATAAATGTTAACTGTTTGATTTTTTCCAAACCGAAACGAACCGAAAAAATAATCGGTACGCTTCTGGAGATTTTACAAATATTCGTACCGAGAACTGAACCGAATCGTCTCATACCGTACCGAATCGAAGAGCCGAATTACAACATTAGATGAGTGTTATTAATATATTTTATGTAAACCTTGGTCCTATATAATTTGAAGCTTCAATTAAATTTCATGCTTGGTAATATTTGATCCAAAATTGAATTTCTTTTGTTTTGAAAAAATTATTTAAAATGGTATGAAAGGTTAAAGAAATATTTTTTTTAAAAACAAAACTATATTATATTTTGTTTGAATTTTAAATTTTCTATGTTAGTTGCACAAATTTGGTCTTAACTAAATTTTAGATTTACTTCTAAAGTTTATTTTAAAATAAAATCTTTAATATGATGAAGCATTGATGGATGTGAGTTTTTTTTCTAAAAAAAATGCACATAGAAAATAAAATATAATTAAGTAGTCATTAAAAAAAATAAAAAAAAATAGAAATCTCTAGAGATCCAAACCGAAACGTTCTGATAGTCCCGAATACCGAACCAAAAAATAAAAATCGTCGAACTGAACCGTCCCGATTTTTTTGGTACAGTTTCGAAAATCGAATTTTAGTGATCTCTGAATTTTAACACGATTCTGGAGATTTGTCAATCTTTTCTACATACATATAGAAAATATCCAAATAGAAAATGCATTCATGAAACGACGGTAGCTTTTGCGTTTATTTCTACCAATGTAGAAGGGTGGTAGTCATCACGTATGCATATATGAGCTGTAATTTATATATTTTAATGCTTTAGCAAAATTGTTTTTTTTTTTTTTATAAATGACGTAAATTCTACTCATTTAATTCAATGAATGATGCTTTTCAAAAAAATATTCATCAAACTGAAAAAAGTTATCTTTATAAACAAAGAAAATCCTTTTCATTTGGAACGACATGATCAAGAAGAAATCTTAAGAGAACATCAAACGAAGCTTCCAATTATTATTCCTTTTTCAAATTGGTGTTGATGTTCTTTTTATTACACTTTCGTATTTAAATATTGATGACAAACAACATCCAAAGCTTTACAGGAGTTCACGATGCCCAAATCCCAAGTATTTTTAGTAGCAAATATTGTCATATCATTATTATTACTAATTTATTATATGTTATGCAGTTTCTTACTAATTTATTATTTTGTTCCTATTTTGCATGTTGACTTGTGTACTAAAGATCCATTTTTTTTCCCAATATTTTCGTGTTGTGTTGGCTAGATCTCACTTTAAAAAAGTTACATAAAAACGCGCTTTTGAAAAAATCGTCATCCCAAAAGTCCACGTTTACAACATCAANGGGTGAAATCCACAATAATACTGCTAAATTAGCCATTATAAAAAAAAAATATGTGCATGTGCATAGATGTTGGGAAGCACTTGCGTTTTTAACTAATCTCTGCTGTAATCTACTCATTGAGGATTTTTTTTACTTTAATTTGGTGATACCTAAGTGCAATTGCATTTTATTTTAATTGATTTGCTATGTTTTGGGTCAAATGTTCGTCCCATGTTAATTGAAATATTTGTCCACACTCTTTTAAAAGACCAACACATTGGCCTACAAATTCCTCTCAAATATTATTCATTATTCGTTCTAACATTATTACTGTATAAAAATTCGGGCATACACACGCGCAGGCACACCAACTTAGAAATTCAACCATATTATTGAATTAGTGCTTCCCAAATTATTAAATTAAATGCATCGAGCAGCTAACTAACTAAAGTATCGAAAAGGATTAACATCCACGTGTGTGCTCTTATCACAATTCACTATCAGACAAAAGCTTCACAAAAACTTAGGCTAAATCATTTAATATTGAGATAGTGATTTATTATTATTATTATTATTATTACTATGGCTGAGATAGTGATTTATTATTATTAAATTATTATTATTATTATTATTATACTACAAAATTTTTAGGCATATATCTTAAAATATTTCCATCTATCTCTAGGAAATATTACTCAAAAACAATAGTAAATCATGTTATATTTGGAATCGTTTGGATGTTAGCGATTTATATAAAATTAGTTTTATTGAACATTATTTAGGTTACATTTGGTAGATAAATAAGCTAGTTTATAACTAATTTGGTTAGTTTATAAGTTTCTTTTATTTATTAACTAGTATGGGTCCCGTGCAGTGCACGGGTAAGAGATATTCATTAATATTTATAAATTAAAATTTATTATTAAATAATGTTTATAAATTAAAAATATGGAATCAATATGTAATACAATTTATCTATATTAATTTATTGAAAATGTTATATAAAGTTTAAATTAGGCAAAATTATATAAAAATATTTATTTAAAATTAATATACAACCCGTGCGGTGCACATAACTGATAATAAATTATATTATATTTGTTTCAAAATAAGTATCATCTCAAAATTTTTATTCAAAAATTCGATTTGACTATAATGTAATTCCATAAAATAGTTATTTTGGTTTATCATATATTTAACAACCTATGTGAATAATAAGTATAAATATAAAATTTATAGTGTTTCATTACTTAACATAATTTATTTTTGTATAAACTATTCAAATCAAAAAATTAAGTAGTTGAGTAAATTAGTAAATTATAAATAATTGACTATTTCGTTTACGTCCAAGTTAATATTGACCCGTAAGTTGTTGAGTAATCTATTAAACTATAAATAATTGACTACTTCGTTTACGTCCAAATTAATATTGACCCGTAAGTAATGAATAATTATTTTTTTATTTTTAATTTTAAATAATTTTTTTTATTTTGTTTCAATATATTATATACCAAATTTAAACCATACAACTAATAAAGGTAATAGCTACAAGTTTTGTCAATATATTATATTCCAAATTTAATCATGCAACTAATAAAGATAATAGCCACAATATTTGACCAAAATGATTCTGTACATTAATTACATTAATTTAGGCGAGATTTTTCACATCCTGGCCAAAAAAATTGCCCAATTTAGTAAATCTGAATTTTTAGGCGAGAAACCAAATATTTTTTTACTGATTTTTAGTTACTATTTCAAGTAAATATCATTCCTTCCTTATATATTAATAGATAGATTTTACCTTAGGTTATTAAATGATACTTTAAGCAATTAAAGATGAATTTATATAAGCATAAAAGTTCACTGTTGGTTATAAATCATAAATTCTAACTAATAAAAGTTGGATTTATATGGCTAACCTAAGCCCGTGGGTTAGAGATAAGTATTTGAGCTTAACATCTATATTTTTTTAATATTATCCACTCAACAATATTAGAGTTGTGATATAGGAGTACTTGTTTTATTTTGATGGCTATAATTTCTGTAGATTAGAGATAAGCACAAAAGGAGATTATCATGTAGATTCATTTAAGGTTTTCCGTATAATAGGGTGTTGACATATTCTATTATTTAGCATATCTAGATTATATCATACAAATAATAATGTTCAATTTTTTGTGCTTACAATTCGTGTCACACATCTATTAATCCATGATATATCAAAAATATATTATTCATATAGTATTTAGTATATCATTCAAATAATAAAGCTAATTTATTATTTTATTTTATTTGGAAAATGTCAGGTAATGTTAAAAATAACTAAATTTGAGCATAATTATTTGTCATTGTATTTTAATATATTATAAATGATTTTTTGAGTATATAATTATATATATATGTATATATATTTTAATTCATGTATCCTAATCGCAAAATTTAAAAACATCAATGTCATAGTTGTACCAATACAACCTGCTAATATAAAAACAATATCATATATGACATATTTTTATTAAAGTAATTTGATGTACAACT